AAAGTAGTGGCCAGCGATAGACAATACTTTGAATCATAAATGTATAACCAGTTTTTTACAATAAAGCCTCGAATTTTGGAAAAAAAACGGCGGAAGCAAAGTTGTACACCTAATAATAATTACAATCTTCCTACCCCTGTTAACCTAGCCCCCCCACCAGCGAAAAATGAATTCTTACATATGCCAAAATTAAGTGCTAATTAGGTGTTAATTAGGTGCTGAAGTGCGAAATTAGGTGCTCGAACCGTTTGGCAGGAAAAATAAATTTTTTTGGGGGGGCTAGCTTAATATTAAGCTAGCCCCCCCCCCCAATAAAAAAAATTGATAACTACTGCGTAAACAAACAAAACAAATAAACTAGAATTAGGTGCTAATTAGGTGCTCCGAGGAACGACCAAAATAATTCAAAAATATATATCATATAGAATTATATACAGAAATTAGGTATCAGTCGAACAGTCGAGTCACAAGAGAAAAGTTGCCTCAAAAATTAGGTGCTCCAACAAATTTAGTGTCAAAATGTTTGTTTTTTAATAATATTTAAGGATATCTAGTCGCCGAATTAGGTGCTCGTTCCGTTTGTCAGAAATTCGAACTCAAAGATAGGTTGTGCGGTCAACTCACAAGAGAGAAGTTGCCTTAAAAAATTAGGTGCTCCAACAAATTTGGTGTCAAAATGTTTTTTTTTTATATTATTTAAAGATATCTAGTCGCCGAATTAGGTGCTCGTTCCGTTTGGCAGAAATTCGAACTCGAAGAAAGGTTGCGCGGTCAACTCACAAGAGAGAAGTTGCCTTAAAAAATTAGGCGCTCCAACAAATTTAGTGTCAAAATGTTTGTTTTTTAATAATATTTAAGGATATCTAGTCGCCGAATTAGGTGCTCGTTCCGTTTGTCAGAAATTCGAACTCAAAGATAGGTTGTGCGGTCAACTCACAAGAGAGAAGTTGCCTTAAAAAATTAGGTGCTCCAACAAATTTGGTGTCAAAATGTTTTTTTTTTATATTATTTAAAGATATCTAGTCGCCGAATTAGGTGCTCGTTCCGTTTGGCAGAAATTCGAACTCAAAGATAGGTTGCGCAGTCAACTTACAAGAGAGAAGTTGCCTTAAAAAGTTAATTATGTTAATAAGAATAAATATATGCGATAACAAATACAATAAACTGTACTACTATTATGCAGATAGCGTTATTAAAAACGTACGTAATTAAATACACATGTACTTACGTTAAATACACATGTTCGCGCGCGAGTATGCATGTGCTACGCACAACGTACGTTGTTAAATACGTTATTAAACGTTCTGACAATTCATAAAATCATTATATTCATCTATAATGAGTGTCAAAATGTTTTCCTACTCACTTTCGCACATTGATTGAATTTTAAGAGAAAAGTTGATATTTACTACCAGAGATACTTTGTCGGACCAACTATCTTTGATTCCATCAAATTGAATTTCTGATGTTTTTTCGATAAAAGACATCATGCCGCTTGGCTTTGTTTACTGATTGGCGACGTTGATCGTCGCTCTCGTTCGCGGCTCACCACGCCTTTGACGCACCGCGTCAACCTATCTTTGAGTTCGAATTTCTGCCAAACGGAACGAG